GAAATGGGCGAAGAGATCAAGTCAAAGGACGATGAGATGATTGCATCGCAAGTAGACATTAGTAGGAAAGATGAGCTCATGAGTGATGACAAATCAATAGACAACGAGTCGCCAAAAGACAATAGACTGCCTGAGACCACCATATCTATAGACTCCAGCACTAAGTCATGAGCCCAATGGACTGGTATTTATTTGGACACAACTATAGTATAAACTATACGAAACACTTGTCATCATTCATTGTCATCTAATACAAGCAATGACTGCCAGCAAAAATGAGATGACTGTTTGAGCACCTGACTGTCAAACACAATATACTATGTCATGTCAGCCCTTATTACAATTGGATGTACTTTTAATATCTATTATCAAATTTTGGCCAAAGAATTAGTGCAAAAAAGTATTATTATGTTTTAACTGGGATTATGTGAGACATTAATGTATAAAAAATCGTAAAAATTTGTTTTTTATTACACATATAACTTAGTGTATATGACTTTTTTCTATTATTATCATTAATTTTATTTTACTATTTTTCCATTGTTATTTGTCATCATTATTATAAACACTAATTGTATAAATTAAAAATAGTCTCAAAGATATTATTATTATACCGTAATTTTTATTATTTATAGCATAAATATTTATTGTAGACAAAAAAACAGTTGACACAAAACACACACACATTTCAATATATAAATTAAAAACACCAGAAATATCTTATAATTGATGAGTGACTGATGGAAATGGATATATAGTTTAAATAGTATACAATTAGATAAGTTATATACAATTTTTTTGGATAAAAATAATTTATGACATCTAATAAATTAGTAATGTTATTATTTTATATAATACTTTACTTTATTATATCAAATGTATATAAGTATATATAAATTATATTAATATTATATAACAGTTATTTTGTATGATTCTTAATGATATTGTGAGAGAAAGTGTATGAAATATATATATATATATAAATAATGTATATTTGAAAATGTATTTTTATTTTATTTATATTTCMAAAATATTAATTTTTAATCTGCAAAATGCATAAATTTACTGCCCAAGGAGTATATACTATATGTTTATAAATTATGTAATTTATATAATTCACATTTTGAAACAATTTTTGAAAAAAATTAAAATTATGTTTTATAAGAGAATCTTTACATTTAAAGTAAATTATAATATTTAAATAAATGATTATTACACTAATTATAATTGTTTTATGTAATGATAGCTATATTAGTCATTTATTTCGCTTTTATTTTATGGATACAATACAATCATAAAAATAATAATAATAATAACATAAAATAGTCTAAAAATGTAAAATATTCTTTACGTGTATACACATTGACAGTACATTAGCATAACTTTAGCAAAAAACTAACGACTACTTAAATCTATAATTTATATATTTTTGAATTTTAAAATAAATGTTTATTATGCTCTCATTTTTTGTTGGTTAATGCAGTTTAAGACAGTATGGAATTAAAATGAAATAAAATAAAACCAGAATATTCTGGTATTTTACTTAAACGTATAAATCTCATATAAAAATATATAAATGTAATTATTTGTAATTATTTATTTCATTTTGTTGTTTATAATACAAAAAATAATAGAAATAAAAATAAAAACTAATATTTTTTTCAATAAACCATTTTTAAAATAAATTATTTAAACAATTATTCTAAAAGTAGAAAAAGATTTATATTTGTGATATGTCTTTGAGAAAAGATTTGCTAATTTCTTAATTTAATGAAATAAAATGCGAATATAAAGAAACATTAAAAATGGTTTATAACTCATATATGAGTTATAAATTCATTTAAAAAAGCGTTCAAATAAATAGCCAAAGCATTTGTTTTGCTTTATATTTTGCGGCTAAACGTTTCAAACGTGTATTTGGTGTGTGTATCGCATGTCAAGTATTCATTAATTTTACTCTTTTTATATCATTATTTATAATTAGTGCATAAAAAAAGTTAGGAATAAAAGGCAAGCCTTTACTAAAACTAAATATACTATTGAATATTATATACATGTGAATTAGAATAACCATTGTTAATTTGGTTAGACCTGTAATTTTTGGGATAAATTTATATCTTACACTTAAGTAAATAATATTTTTAATAATAAAAAAATAAAATTTATATTACATTTTAAATAAATTACAAGATATAAAAAACATATTATTTTTTATAAAATCAAGTAAATGTAAAAAATTGCAAATATTACATCTATTATTACAGTATTATGTATTATTATAGCAAAAATGGTGATCCTATTTGAAGTAAATAAAAAGATTCTTGTATTTGAGATTTTCATTATTCTCTTCAAAAAAAAACTAAATAGATTTAAAAATATGCGGCATTTGAAACAACTGTATAATTAATCAGCACTCGGTGTTTGGGGGGGGGGGCAGCCAGTGTTGTTTGATCTGGTATTAAATTTAATACACAATTTCTATGGCAAAGTTGTACTCATTTTCCTATAAGTTTAGAAAAATTTGCTAATAATTTGGGTGTAGTTTTGTTTGATATAGTAATATATGCTTTCTTTTCCAAATAAATTCAATGCTTAGTTATTATAATAGTTAACACATACATACTTGTGCTAAACATCACTGGTATGAGACAATAAGTAATTATAATGAGTTTATTTAAATAAGTGCCAAAAATGCAAATTAAATCTTAATTTTAAGGTTGACTTCATTTTAGAGCATAACTACTAAATATTTTATATATCCTTATGTTTATGTGTAACTCAATACAGTATACAGTATGTTGTTATTATAATTTACTGTATATATAATTTATACTGTATTATACATATATAAAGTCAAAACCAGAGATAAAACAACTTTATTTGAGAATTGTTTTTATTGATTTTTATCAAAAATTTCAATTTATATAACAATTACTGGTAGTGTATTTGGATTGGGTAGAGTGTAAATAATMACAATATATTCAAATATCACAATAATTGTAAATTACAATTTAATTATTTACTTTCTCACCAAAATCTCAATTTTAACTGATATTAATTAAACAAAAATGCGAGTTTTAATTTGATAGCAATTATAAGAAATAGACATAATAACATGTATGTGTGTGTGTGTGTGTGTGTGTGTGTGTGTGTGTGTGAGAGAGAGAGAGAGAGAGAGAGAGAGAGAGAGAAAGAGAAATGATAATAAACCATATAATGAAATAAAATCGATAGTAGTTTCCTAAAGATATTGCCTTTATATTAATGGTATCATATTATAATATGGTACCAACAAATATTCTCGTTTATATTTATATATACATGTATATMATTGAGAAACTTTATATATTATATAATAATTTATTATACTATTATAACTGTAGAAACGGAAAAGTAAAAAATCAATTTTACTGTACATATGGTTAATGATAAGCATTTAATTTTTAAATTATACTGTATAATGTTATTTTGAAAATATATGACATAAATTGTAGCATACATATAGACTACTTAAAAGTCAATACAAAAATGTTATTGACTGACTAATAGCCAGATTAAACTATTGCTGAATATATTGAAATGTCCCACAAATAGAGTGATACACTAGTTTTATATGTAAAAACTATATTATATATACTTTAAAATTTTTACTCGTATGTTATACTATGGATATTGATTTTGTTATTTTTTTGTAAAACTCAGTAAACACACACTCAGTTTGATATACACTTTATATATATATATAAAAGTTTTATATATTATACAAAAATAAAGCTATTCTTTATTCAAGAAAATATAAAAATATATATTTACGGTATAAGTGTTTTTGGCAAATGTTTGCTATAAATAATGAATTTTTATGCTCGGCTACCAAAAAATATATTTGATAAAAAAAATATAAAAGTAAAGTATAAAAATTGAACATATAAATCATACAATACTTTAATAAGGAAAATAATTTTCTTACAAATTTAAAACTTATGCGGCAAATGATATACAATTTTATACAAATAACATAAAAAATAATAGATTTTTTTGAGCTATTATTTGAGGATATATTGTAAAATAGAAATTCTGTTTTTAGCAAAAAAATTATCTCAAATATTGTATTTAAAAAAAAAGAAAGAAAATTCTCTCTTTTTTCTATTTACAGAAATATCATAATATTTCTGTAGTAAACAACACACAAAACAAGTGATGTTTACTCTCATTCTTTAACCAAATGAAGACCCAAATCGATGTCCAAAATATTGTTTAACAAGAAATCTTGTTTTCCATGTTTTTGTATAACATTAATAATAATAATAATAATAATAATAATACTGTAATATTGCTGACTATGGATGTAATATAAAAAGTGGTATACAATGTTTTTTTGTGGAGGGGATTGTATGACAAATCAATTTGAATCACTAGTCAATACACATTCACATACAGGGATGACTGTCTTTGTCATACAAATACAYGAAAGAAAGAGAGAAAACTACTATTTCTTTCATCAATGAGTTTATGGACTCCAACGGCATTACAATGAAGAAGAAGAAGAAGGAGAAAAAATATAAGAGTCAGACAATGAAAAGTAAAGGGAAAAAAACTTTCAGATATTTGAATCAATACAACAATTGTCTACAATATATATATTGTACACCAAATGGAAAGTCATTATAGCTGTCTGTGAGCTCTAACAACAGCTCAGAATCTCAGATATATTTATAGGAATTAATGGATATAATAGTAATAAAACTATTTTTTTCATACAATTTTTTATTTCAATAGTTTTTTTATATTATATGATATATAATATAATACAAAAAGTTAGATTAATTTTAAAATGATGGTCACATCAAAAGTCGGGCACACAATCATTATATGAGCTGTTTATTCAATATATTTACTCAATTAATCACTGTCTCGGGGCTAACTGTTCCCTCAATGTCTAAGACATTCATGACTTACCCGTTAGACAATTATCTATGGGTTAACCCAATTGCACGCAAACTCAGTGCTGTTTGTTTGTGTCAAAGCATGCCTTCAATAGCATAATAAACATATGATTAGTAATTGATTTTTTTTATAAAAGTCTTCATTCAGTGATTATCACCTCAATTATGGCCACTATTAAAGTGTTTAGTGGTCTACTCAAGACAACAACTCATCCATGTCTTAAACCGCACTCCATTTCAATCTTCAGAAATGATTTCAACTTAAGAGGTTTGTATCGATAAAAAATATGATATTTAAATTTGAAGACATTTACCATTATATTTAATAGTAATGATAATAACCATTATATTAAGTATTGAAATAATTAATTATTGATGTTTCAATTGGTTTCACTATTTTGACAAATAATTAATTAATTAATTAAAATATCTAATGATTAATCAATTGAATTAAATATCATTTATATTGAATTGCAGACAATTTATGGCAACAGATCCGCACTATAAAAGCTCCGGGAAAGAGAAGAGGTCTCAAATATATAGCGATTCGGTCGACACCTAAAGAGTTGCCATTGGATCCCAATGAGGTCAGTCAGAGGCCATCTAATGCACAATCGGCAATACCGACCGATTTGGCTGAACTACGATTCGCTTACCCGGAATTCCTGCCCAAACCGGTGGTCGATCACAGAGACAAACTCTGTGAACAATTGATGCGAAAAGATCTGATCCGACGGCGTAATGTCATTGAAATCCCTGAGTTTTACGTGGGATCTATATTAGCGGTCACTATTAGCGACCCATACGCACCGGGAAAGATATCTAAGTTTGTGGGTATTTGTATCGAAAGAGCCGGTCAGGGAACTGATGCCAATTTTACTTTACGTAATCGAGCCGATGGACAGGGAGTGGAGATAAGATATGATTTATATAATCCGACTATACGTGAGATACAAGTACTTCGACTTGAGAAACGACTTGATCCGCATTTGTTATATTTGAGAGATGCATTGCCTGAATATAGTGAAGTACCATTTGATATGACACCTGACCCGCCACTACCATCGGGTACACCCGTTCCGTTAAATGCAATTAAAGTAGTAATGAAAAAGCATCCCTGGACTCGCAAGTGGGAGGCCGTAGACCTACAGGGCATACAACAGTTAACAGAATTGCCTGACTTTGAATATATAAACAAATGGCGCGTAAAGTCTGCTTACGCTAAGTATGATCTCATGAAAGAGTATAGAGAGACCATTCCTGAAGAGGAACAGTTAGACATATTAAAGGAAATTCAAGAACATAAGGATAAAGTAGCAGAGGTCAGGGCTATCGAGAGGCGCAAGAAATTGGTTCAACAGACCAGCAAAAAGTCATAGATTTTCATTACATTTGATAGAAAGATAAGTTTAGTTGATTTAAATTTATATTTAATAATCATTTTTATTAACATTTAATAAAATACTATTTAACAAACAATTTAACTAAAAGACCTTAAATATCATTACAATAAATGATAAGTTTTATTATATTATAGTTACCGTAAGTTAGTAAACACTCTGATTTCAACCAAACCAATGATTTCCCATACAATCCCTGTTCCACTCTGTTTGACAAATCCAACACCAATTAAAACCGCATTGAGCTCTGGTACACACTATATGCATACAACCACCGTTACGTTCAGTAGGTGTCCGACATTTAGGACACGGCTTAGTCGACAATTTAATGGCCGTTCGGCTCATAATCTCATCCCATTTAGATTGGTCTGCATTTTCAGTATTCATATTTTTAAAGGAACTGGTATTTGGCTCATATAGTGAATTGTCGGACTCGATAAGACAATCGTCCACATGAGATCCCTGAAGACATTTACGACAAAAAACAAATCCACATTCACCACAAGTAATTCGCGTACATATATCGGGATCTGTTTCATCCAACATAATACCGGCGCCACAGCCCGGTTGTGGACACAGAACTCCGCCAAAGTTCAGCACAAATTCTTCGGCACCAAATCTTTGGTACTTTTCATACGCCTGTTCGCCCATTAATTTAAAGTGATGTGTCTCTCGTATAAGTGAATCACTACAACCAACGGCACAGTTGAGAGTATAACCTACTATCGGATCCGTTATAAAACGTCTGTCATTAAGTCGCGAAAGACAATAATCTCTAAAACAGTCTAAACAAATGGCATGTTTTGATACACAAGTAAACACTAAAACAGTATCTTTAATGTCAGTACAGGCAAGACATGAAACATCGATGATATTGTGACGAACTAAGTAGAGGACAGCCGTACGGTTACTCTCGAAGGCTTCGTATGCCGTCTGGTCATCGGTAGTGTTGTGTGAATTTGAGGCACATTTAAAGTAAAACCTGGCTATACTTCCGTTACAGTCCTCTGACTGACAGACACCTCTAATACGACCATCAATTAGCACATCGTCCCACTCATGCGGATCTCTGTCCACAATAATTGTGCCGTTTTTGCATTTATCACAAACAACTCTTAACTTTCCGTTTGTCAATTGTTTACATGTATTGCAAAATACAAAGAAATATTTGTGTCGATCTTTATTGTGGTCATCACTGGTAACTGAAGACAGCAGACGACGTTCTCTCAGTTCATCTCTGGTCTCATCGCTGGTATCATTGATACTCAGATTTGTCAGCTTCTCATTGATGGTCGACTGAGTGAATGGTATCAGATTAGTCTTCGTCTTAATATTGATAGCATTGATGGCGTGAATCACCGAATTCTGTCCGAAATCACAATCACTTAGTTTGAGTTCATTTGGCAACTCTTTGCCCGAAAATATGATCACAATATCTGACCAGAGATTGACATCAATTTTGTCTTTCAGCTGTCGCTTAATATCTTCAACGCACATATCAGGTGTCAAATTAAGGCCAAATGTTTTGTTTTGTTTGCCGTATCTGATGTTTAAATGCATTTTATTATCGTAAGCATTGGTGACCACTGATGGCCGCAATCGKAGCGTAACTAATATGTAATCGACGTAAACGTTGAATGCATTGAACAACAGTTCAATGAATGCCATTGTATTGACATTTCATTGATTAATATATCATTTCATTACATAACTATTGATAGCAATGTTAACACCGATTGTTAACAAATCATAACAATTATTAACAATCGATTTAATGTAATATTGTTTGTGATTGACTCACAAACAACACATTAAACTGTGTATTGTATTCATAAATAGTGTTATAATTAATGTTTGAATTTTATAATATGAGACAACAGTAGTGACATTTCAATGACAATATTTATTAACTAATTATTGTTTGTATTGTATTGTCATTTGTATTAACAATAGGTGTCACTAGTAATGAGTATTATTATAACAACATGTGATTGAATGATGAAATCTATGCACACATTGAATGTTATTTTAAATTTATTTCAATTATTATATTTAATTAATTAAAACATTTAATGATTATTATAATGAGATAATCATTTAATTGATACAAATATTATATWAAATAATCATATGTTTTGCAAACTCAGTGTTAATAATGTCATTAGCAGTGGTGTCGCGTATGGCCAGAATCGGCAACTTTGTCCACTCGCGACTGTTCGGTCGGTCCAATCTATTGCTGACCAATTCATTGATATCAGCATTGATGGGAACAGTAGGTGACGCTATTCAACAACAGTACGACCTGTTGACGGACGACAAGAGTGCCGAAGAGTCTTCARCGACCAAAGGCTTCAATTCTGTGCGTTCGGCGCACATGACTTGTGCCGGATTTACCACAGGTCTGGTCAGTCATTATTGGTATATATATTTGGATCGGTTTTTGGGAACCCGAAAGAAGATGTATGTAATCACCAAAAAAGTACTGTTGGATCAAATTGTGTTCAGTCCTATCAATTTGTTTGTCTATTTCTCAACGTTGGGTCTCTGCGAACAATCGGGAGTTAAAAGATTCAAAGAGGAACTGATGGAGAAGGGCTTCGAACAGATCTATGTCGTCGAATGGATTGTATGGCCACCGATGCAGTTCTTCAACTTCTTTGTATTGCCACTCAGATATCGTATACTATTTGATAACATTATATCATTGGGTTTTGACATCTATTCACCGTATGTTAAGTATAAGACTCAACTCAAGAGTGAATTACAGACTACTAATGACCAAATCATAAGTGATAAATACAATAATACTATTAATCAAGAAATTGATTTTATTAATGATAAGACCAACAAATTATTAATACAATAATCATTATATCATATAATTTTTTAAAACTTCTTTAATATAAAATTATTGACAAATATTATTTCTAGCATTAAGTTTAGAAATTGATTATATATTTCAATTAAATTATTTTGATTAGGATATCACTTAATATTAACAAAATATTTTTTATTATAATAAATAAAACATAATTTATAATCATGTCTTCAATCCATTGATATATTTTGGCAAAATTATGAATAATCAATCATTTTATTGTACATTATATTGATTTTATACTTTGATAAATATTTTTTAAGTACCGGTAAATAAAAACTAAATACCGTAAAATAAATAAATAAAAGTTTGTATATTATTAAATTATTTTTCTAATAGATTTTTAATTTAATTTAAATGTTTCACAATTGACAAAAAATTGGTTACAAACGTATCCACAAACCAAGTATTGGACAGAAATTATTAGTTAAATAAAATAAAAATTTAAATCACTTTTTTCAAACAAACACATTAAAAATGAGTAAAATATTGTTTAAAAACAACACATAAAATCAATATAATTTTTAAAATTACGATTCACTTTTAGTTAATACCTTATTTGAATCAATAAATTATATTTTTGAAAATAGTATATATATTAATTGATTCTTTGCATAAATAAATATAGACTTAATTATAATAAAATTAATTAATAAACTCTAACGAAGACATCAATCTTCTCCATTTGAATTATTGATGAGCCGTCGGGCGCCCCGTTTACCGGCCGGTCCTTTAGGCTTATCAAACATAGTCTTCACAATATCCTGTTTGGGATGAAGTTCGTCGATAAGATAACTATGTGACAGTTCTCGTGGATTATCGGTTTCCAATTTCTTATCGATATGAATACCGATGCGGTTAGTGATAGCATTTAGTAAAGCATTTTTACACGAAGAGTATAACATGCGCTCCTTTACTGATATAAAACTGGTTGGTATTGAATAGACAAATATTATGCTTTTGTTGAATTGGCCGTCAAATGTATGCGGAAACACAAACAGATGATATCGGGCGCCGTCGGTCGGCATCAATGACTCGATTGAGTGTATATTAAACTCACTGCTTGTCTTCTTTATGTTCAATCTTATCTCTTCGCTCTTCATATCAATACTCAACTGAACGTAACTTAAATTATCATCTTTTAGATCAAACAATGCATTAATGGCTTCCGAATCAATGGGAAATTCGAGTCCCGAAAGAGTCATTTTCTGTGTCTTTGTTATACATGAAGATAATGCTTCGTCGCGACGGACTTCCAATAATTCCTGTTCTTTACGAGAGAGAGGAAGGCCATCAGTTTTACCATTAAGCCATTTCTCGAAGCTATCAAATGAGATCTCGTCTAAAGCGGTCGCGTGATAGTCTTGAGTAATGTTTCCGCCACCAAATTGTTGCTTAAAAGTGGCTTTAGTTGACGCGTAGACCATCTTCTGTCTGACACTACTATCTTCTGGTGTCCACGAAATGAAAAGCCATTCGTATGTACCGATCGTGTCTTTCGAGTCCAATCGAAACAATATATACGCCGGTTCTCCTTTGTGGACAAGACCATCAACATATCGGCGATAATCTTGTTTCCAATCATCTTCAGGAGGAAAGTGTTGATCGAGAACTAGTTCTTCATTACGGATCAGCACTTTGAGTACACGTACGGCACCATTGTTTGACTGATTCTTGCATTGAGATATAAATGCCAGCAATTGGTCAGTGCATTGGATGCCTGTCTGATGCGACATCACCGCAACGTATCCTTGTTTTGACTGTAAGGACAACGGATCAGATGTTTAGCAACTAATTGGCAGTCAATGGAGTGAATCACTCGTTGAACGTATGATTCAATGAAAACACAACACAAAACACAATTGACTCCCAATTATAGACACATTGAGTGACACAACAGTGATGTCACACATGTTTAGAGCGCATGACTTGTATTTATATATGAATTGACATTAAATACACAACAAGTGATGAAAAGCGCCAAATATTTGACACAACAATTGATTAACTGATCCATACATTACATGAAATTAGCCAACGATTGTCTTCACTTATCACAACATTTGGTTCATTATCACCGACAATGATCATCGACTGTGAAGCAGCACTTGTCAATCCCAAACACAATGATCGGCCGCGCTATAGTCGGGCCAAAGTTGGTCTGGCCAACGATCACTCGTCATCAGCGGTGGTCATTGTGATCACAAGTCAATGTAAAGAGAAGTTCAAGATTGTCAACAACTGTACTCTACACAAGACAACAATCAGTTTTAATTTACCCAAAAAGGATCTCTATATTAGAAATTGTGATCAATTGCTATTAAAAGCATTCATGTCTTTGATTAATAAGATCACAACACATCAAACGATACCAAAGTTGGCTAATGTGTCCACTGTTGAGAAAATGAAGCCAAAGCCTACAACACTGACCATCAAAGACAACGCTTTCAGTGCCTCTGATTTATCCAACAAATGTCTGCAAAAGTTGTCGATCGAAACCTTTCGGACAATTCCTCGACTCGTTTGGAAACTAAACAATTTATGTGAACTTATACTAAATAACTGCGATTTAGTGGATATTCCTCACAAATTACAAGACTTGAAGACAAATCTTCGCATTTTAGATCTCTCTAAGAATCACATCAAATGCATCGACGGATCATTTGTGGTGGCGATGAAACATTTGAAAACATTGAACTTGAGTCATAATCAACTGCAATATATTCCTCTGGAGTTAAAATCTATGCAAAGTCTTGAGAAATTGAATGTAAGCCACAATGAACTGTCATCTGTGGTGCACTCAGTGGGAAGCATATCATCTCTTAACGATCTGGACATAAGTCACAACCAAATCAATTCATTGTCTTATTCTTTAATTAAAGAACTTTTACGTTACGTTCGACTCAATAATTTAGACACTTCTGGCAATCCGTTGAGAGAGCGGTTATTTACCACTTCTATAATCATTAATAAACCGTTTCCAACACTTAAAAGTCTATGTTTGGCTAATATTGTGTCCACTAATTGTCTGCTCAATAATTGTCACCAGATTTTACCACATACTCTATATAAAGAGTTGCAAATTAATGCCGAGAAATGTTGTCATTGCGGGGAATCAGTGGTCGATAAACGTATGAAATTGCGATCAGTTCATCAAAGTCTGGAGCAAATAGTTACCAGCCTTTCAACAACACATTTCCCGTCATTCCCACACTTTCCTGCCATACAATATGTTTGCTATTTATGTCTATTTAATAAATCTCTTATTTAATTTTACCTCTACTTTATCATTGTTTAGCTATTTTATATTTTAGCAAATATTTTGATAATTACCGGTAAATATTTTTATAATTTTATATATTTGACATATTATCAGTTATTATCGGTATATTTGTAATATTTCAAAATTGTTTGCAATCAAATGTCTTTATTTGATTTTATCGTATTATTATTATTATTGTATATTTTGTTTTCTAATAATAAATAAGTTTTAGAATATTTTCAAGAATATTTGAAATCAGTAATAATTAGTATATAAATAAAAATTTTTATATAAAATTAATAATTTACCGAAATTTATTTACCGGTAGTTTCTTATAATGTCGACAAATGTACAATAAAAACATTGATAACAACAATGTAAATTTATAGTAAATGATAAGTTATATCTATTTTTATATGTAATAATTTGATTTAACATTATATTATACTCAATGGCATTGAAATTTAATATACAAATTGTGTTCAATTGGTTGGCATCGAGTCGAGCATCACTTGGATCTGATGTAAAACCATTTCATTACCGCAAACGCATTCATTGCTAGTATAGGGAGCTCTTAGAGTCAGTGCGTATGCGATACACAGMGACCCGTCTTCTGATGCCTCACAAGGGATGCGATTCTTGTGTAACCAACTCATCACTGATTGTTTACGAGCTATCAATTGGTCGACACTTAGCTGATATTGACCACTGTCTCGTGTGGACACCGATCCGCACAACAAATCATTTAAATCAAGTGACATATAGTCGTTATCGCTGTCATCTGTCTGATCAACCAAATCTATGGATGTGATTGCGTGACTCATCGCCAAAATCAATTTCGATGGCTTAGCCGATGACCTGTTAGCCGATTGTTTGGTCACTACTAGTGCCACAGTTTGTGTCAACGGATCGATGCATTTAAGTGAACCAATATGTGTGGCTTTTACTGTCTTTAAGATCACTTTACGGTTCAAATATTTACAGTATTTGGTGACAAAGTTGTTRCTATCATTATCACCACTTAACCGATCCATTGTCTTGAAAGGGCCGACAGTAAAGAKAGGATTTGTTTTGTTGATCAACAATCACAACAACATGTGTTTGTCGTTATTTGTTGTGATGTTTATGTAATGCATGTATTGTTTCATTTGAAATAAATTTTTAATTACCGGTAAATTTTATTAATGTATGAATAATATTGGATTTAATCAAAAAGTGACAATCAATACATCACTTAAGTTGGTCTCAAATACAATGCCATTCATTGCATTACACGTCGGTCTGTATTCATAAATAGAGTTGTTATAACAAGTTTTGTAATTATGATATTTTTGGATGTCTTAAGGCGCCGGTCAATACGGGAGTTGTAGCCGACGGGAACTATATCTGAAAGCTTGTCGGATGGCATGTCTTGAGGTAATGTCAATCGATAACAAAATTAGTATTAATATTCATTAATAGGCAATAAAACGTCTGAACGACAAGTGTTCGGCCATAGATGGTGTGGTAGAAGCTATCTCTTCGCTCGAAGATAACGACGTAACAAATGCTGGTTTGGGATCTAATCTTAATTTGAACGGTTGTGTTGAATGTGATGCGAGTCTAATGGATGGMCATAGACTCAATTGGGCGGCAGTCGGTGCTCTACAAGGCATCAAAAATCCAATAAAAGTGGCCGAATGTGTATTAAATGGCCAAAACAAGCGACAGCCGTGCGGTTTGATTGCACCCAATTTTCTGGTCGGTGACGGCGCCCGAGATTACGCTCTAAATAATGGTTGCGTGACATCGGATCTAACGACTGGTGCAGTACTTGTAATTACCGCTAATTTTTGCACAAATTTAATATTTTAAACCAATATTTGTTGAAATTATCAGAAAAATCTAAGAATTTGTATAACAAATACAAACGACAACTCGAATCGGAAACTGTGGACAATAATAGTTTGATTAATACCAAACATAGACGTCTRGACACTGTCGGTGCCATTTGTGTGGACTGGGAGGGCAATGTTGCTGCCGGTGCTTCCAGTGGTGGCATTCATCTCAAGTCATCGGGAAGAATAGGTCAGGTATGTGTCAGATATGTATTAAGTCATTATTTGTAGTAAATATTATTTGATTTTTAATTAACTAAAGGCAGCAATGATGGGATGTGGTGTTTGGGCGCAAAACAATATTGCTGTCACTACTACCGGTGCCGGAGAGTACTTAACGAAAACAATGTTTGCCAGAGAGTGTGCCAATCAATTACTCGGCAATTGTGACCAAAATAATATGTTAGCTCTGAATAAAGCATTCAYTAATGGATTCATTGGTGAGAGATTCAAATAATTATAACTTTAATTATCTTATAAAATGATAAATTTATTTGCTATTAATGTCCAGAATCTCCATTCCTTCAAAACATTGACAAAGTTGACCGATTGGCCGGTGTTTTAGSTCTAAGTCATGATCGGGAGTCCAATAAAACCGAGTTGTTATGGGGTCACAGCACACACTCCATGTGTGTCGGGTATATGTCTACAACYGATGTTAAGCCCAAAGCTTATGTCTCACAATTGCCGACCGACTCTCAGCCGGGAATTAATTTTATCGTTGAAGGCATTAATATCTAATACAAGTATATATCACAGAGTCTTTCATTTATCATAAAAKTATTTTTATAATTTATTTTTTAATATTACAAAAAATCAAATGAATTAAATTATAAACAAAAATATTTTGAAATCCAATATTATAAACATTATTACTGAACCAACGGATCATCTTCTTTAAGTGACTCTTGAGTTGAGTCGTCGCTATCAGTGTCTGGAGAACTCTGGACATGAATTTCTAACACATAATTGAAAGCGTTTCGCGAGAATGTCTCATAACATGTCATCAAATCTATTAATAATTGTCTTTCTTGCGATTGAAGACTAAGAAAACAATTATTATCCACTCTTTAAGGTATTGTCAATCACTTACTTTAATAGATTAARMCAACTCTGTATGCGAAAGACAGCGTTGGTTGCAATGGCAGTGAAAGCAGTTTTCATTGAACACAGATTTTGAATGGATTCCGGTGTAAACCTATGCTGACAAGTGATGGCATTTAATAAACCTATTTGAATGCCTCGATCGACACTACGAGTCAGGCCATCGACAAAGGTCTGCAAATGTCTGACAAAYAAAAATGTTAATMATATTGACTATACATACATATATTAAATATATGCCAAACCTGATGACTGTWATCTTTGTGACCCTATGTTGAACACCACTCATGATATCCTCAAASACATAWTCATCGGGAAAYTTGTCTTCATTTTCAATGCATTTCTTTGACCAYTGTATAGACCAWTCAATATTWTCKCCAATMAATCCCTTAATTATATCCATTTTCTTCCGTTGTTTTCTTWGAATAGCGAAGTCTTTGTATTGAGTCTTAAGTTTGTCAATCATTRACTCTTCACTKACAGTACTATCACTACTATTAGTGCTAACATTTGACTCAYTATTGATTGAACTCATAGTTTAGTCAAAAGTTGAAACAATTTTATAAAGTTTTTATTAAAAATTATTTCTAATAATTGCAATCAAATCATTGATTGGTTTAAAATCATAACAATAATTGCATTGCATTTCAATGAKTSTATTAAGTGTCGCCCTCTCATTGCATTGCATTACATGTTATTTACATTTAAAAGGCAATYATATAATSTAATCATTAAATGAATTGAAWATCTCTGAAATTTAAACTTAATWTCAATTATTATTATATAATTAATAATAAATACAAACATTTATATTWATATGAWTTTTTTRTTAACAAATTTAWTAARYAATGAAAACAAAATTACATTTAAAATATAATTGAATAAATCATAATATAAYGGATAATACGGTATTWATTACAWTAATTAGATAATTATGTTTTATATGCCAATTGTATGACAGCATAATCACCGGTTSCCCTCCAGTTTGMATCAAATGTCTTAATCATATCTAACATCTCTTTATTTTCAATACCGACCACAACATCGGCTTTGATTGTCCTAAACGTACACAAAGTTGTCGGTAGAAAACCTCTCAATGMTCTCTCAAATGGCACCATTAGATCCCATAGAAGATCACCGGTTAGTTTCCTATAGTTGAGGTCACCTTTAAAAGTATTAACTGGGATTCACTGAGACTCTGATACAGATCACTGGCCATTGTTCTCATATGACTGAARTCTTGTGCAAATGTCCAGAACGGATGGTCAACAATAACCCATTTTCCCGATTCCAAGTTTTTCAACCATTTGTTGGCCAACTTCTTYACATTTGGCGAACGACTGTTACAATCAACGGCTAAATAATTCAACAGCCAATGAAAGTCTTTGGTCATCACATCCGACACAAACCATGGCATAGATTTCACGTAAAATTTGACAACACTTTTGTCACCCAATAAGTGACTCAAGTCTAAGAATTCGATGAAACACAGATCGGTAAACAATTCGTAACCGGAATTATCTAAAACTARACTTAATTGAAACGAATCGCTGGCAGAACAGGTCTTCACGTGTGTCCATAAATTTTCCAATTGRTTATCAATAATAAAATCTCTGAATTTAGCCAAATCTTCGATAGGATTTGAACTATTGATCACTTGTTTGCCGGCAGATAATGAAAGATCACATTTGTTGCCCCAAAGAGATAGTTCGGAAAAYTGTATAAATTTACTTTTTATGCTYTCATCGCCATCGATGACCATCGACTCTATCAGATCGGCCAACACTTCTACCGCTCCGATAGACGACTTAAGTGCTTCTTCTTTGCTTTCGGCAAACGGATCAAASGTTTGAATAAATTKAGTCAATTCAAAGGCCTGACGAATTCGTCGGTAAAGATAACACTCAGCGTAGAGCCACTSAGCGCTAAACCATTTCGGTTCGCACCCGAACTCAGTCTTATAATCGCTTAAGCATTGGTTCCATACGTCAGAGTTGACAGCTTTGGTCTCCAATTCAATAAAAGGTTTGTCAGTTTGTAATTCGTTACGGAGTTTAGCCAACTCTCCGATCGTGTCTTTCATTTCTTGTTCGGCGGCTATTCGGTTGTCTTCCGATACCATTCCAAAAGACACCAAACTCTTGACACTACGACAACTACTGTCGATGGCTTTGGTCACTATTATAGGCAGTCTATCGGCTATTGTGATGTAAGCGAATGAGTCCTTATATTTGGCCGAATGTGCTTCGGGTATATCACTGATGGCGTTCACAGACGGCATGTCTTCAAATGTGATGTGATGTGTGCTAAACAAGTCTTTAAGCGGTAAACCACTGAAGAGGACACACACTATCCTTATATCATATAAGTTATATGTCTGTCAAAGTCAATGGATGTCTGTAATAGTGATAATATATTTTTCCGACAGATGTCTCACACATATAATCCTTCATTGGATGTGAAGTCAGAAACCAATAGAAATGAAGAGTTGAATGAATTAAAAGTGCAAACAATTGACACAACATTTGACATCACTTTTGGTCATTGATTTTGCTGTCAATTTGATTGCCGTTTTGTTGGACACAATATATTACCAAATAATTTCTGTGACCACTATTTTCTTATTTTTGCCAATCGATGGCCCGAACAAAGGCTTCGGCCAAACGAAAGGCCAAAGAAATAATGTCAAGTATTGACAACACAAGTGTTGGACAACAACGAGGAAAGAAAAGACGGACAACGACTATTGTGACGGCAGAAGTTGAGTCAACTGATGGCGCGTCTGTGGTCTCAATCGATGACAAACCGAAGAGAAAACAAGTGGGAAGAAAGAAAAAGATTGTCAATACAGACAAGTCTGCGACCAATAAATTGCCGAATAAAATGTCGACTTCCAGCCCTTCCAAAGCAAAATCAAGTGGTCGTAAACCAGGTCGACCACCGAAGAACCCGTTGGCCAATTTCCAACTGTCCGGTGGCCGTAAAAAGCAAAACCGAAAAGTGGCCGACACTGAGAGGCGATTGTTTACAATCAAGTTTGTACCGAAAATAGTTTTGTCATTGAATTTATAGCTATTCATGAATTAATTGATTGATTGATTGATCTCTTGCAGAGAAAAGAAGGCTTTCTATGAATGTCTTATTTCAAAGGGATTCAGTTGTATTAACAATGAAGAAGTATTGCAACAAATATTTCCCAATCGATCTATGAATGAGATTAAGTAATTATTATTGATTTTAATTGCTTTTTAATAATTATAATCTAATATCAAGTATTTGTTTTATTTTATAAATAGTTTTTAATTAATTAATTATTTAWTTTTTTATAAATTAGTTTCTATTTAATTTCATTTATTATTTTTAAAAATTACTTTATTTTATTTTTATTTATTATAATACAAAGTACAGTATTTATACTACGGTATAATATATAATATAATTGATTAGATTATTATTATTTATTATTGAATATTWTAACTTTGTATTATATATTGTTTATACTGTAGTTAAACCTTTAATTTAATATTTGTTTCCTGAATAATGCAATGATTTATTAGGTTATTTGATTAATTGATTTTTATTTTATTTATTTATAATTATTGGATAGTAGAAATTTGAACAGTTTTTAATTTAATTATCAGGAATTTTATTTGTTGGTTTAGAAAATTATTTTTTATATTTTTTTCTATTGATTTTTGTGGTTTTTTCATTGAATTTCAATGTTATGGGAAATTTTTATTTTGTTTAATTTCTATTGTTTTTTACAATTGATTTGCATGTTAAGTGATATCTTGTTTTTTTAAATATTGTTTTTTATTTTCAGTGCATTCATTGATAGCTTTAGCCGAAAAGCGAAGGATTTGAATCGTTTGAGTGAAGAGAGTGATTGTGTGGATGCAAATACCAACAAACAACCCATTGAGAAGTGGTTTGATGTCTTGCACTTAACTGTTCCCATTTCAATGCGAAAAGACGATATGTCCGGTATATTAGTCGATATATTCAGCGAATTAAGTGCCAAACATTCCGATTGCGTTTATGAATCTCAAGATCCGGAATTAGCCCCCAATTATGGTCACATATACGCCTGTATTCGCGACTCTTTGAATAATAGATATGCACCACAATTGAAGTCAATTGATGCCTTTGTTTTGGTTCAGATGATTGAAGAGCTCAAAGAATTGATTAGAAATGATGATTATAGCAAAGAGTCTGAATTTTTAGCATCTGGTAAGTGGTGGCAACTAATAGACAATAAATCAAGTGAAGACATTTTTAGTGATATTTATATGAGAAGACAACAAGAAAATGTTATTCAGGATAGTAATGAAGAACCGGTTGCCACTACATCTCATGGAACAACTAGTCAAGTGATGAACGGTATTCATCCAAATGTTGACCACGAAGTGATCTCAAGTCCATTGACTTCATCGGGCAATACCAGTCGTGAACGCATTGTAAGCATTATTCAAAACTATCCAAAACTTAGAAAGATTAGCGAATGTTTGAATCCAATCAAAGTTCCCATACATTTCACACACAATCAATACAAGCGATGGCAACATAAATGAACTTTTTTTAGTTCAAATTTATCACATATTTAACATAATATTACTTTTTTCATATCATATTTAGTTTTACCGGTATTATTAATATTATCTGTTCATTGATTACATTTCTCATTAACGCTATTAAATTTATTAAAAAAAATATATGAAAATATAAATAAGAAAATTAAATTTAAAATATAATTAAATTATATTAGGATTGCAAAATATTATATAATTTTTAAAACATATTATTATTAATTAAACTATTGTATTGGCAAATAACTTAAAAACCGATTTGAATGTTTTTTGTCTAATGATATTAATGTGATAATAAATTAACAAATAAATTGTTTAAATTTTTAAAAAATAAAATAAATGTAATTGCAAATTATGTAACGTATGYTATATATATATAACCGGAGCAATTATTTTAAATTTTATCTCAAACCTATAACACTCCTCTAATAAAACATTTATCGATAAATTAATTTAGATTTTAATCGCTGAATAATTAACTGCCTTTTAGGGAAATGAAATTATTTTTTCTGTACACATGAATATRAATAAATAACATTTTAAAAATTTATTTTATAAACGTTTTTTACAACTTATCAGTAATTTTAATAAATTTAACAAAAAAATGTAGTTTAGTTTTTTATTTTTATTTAATAAAACATTGCCTAACACTAACAATAATAATATAGTTGATTACTAATGCAATATTTGATTTGTATGTTTGGCTGAATGAGAGAGAAAATGCATTACTTTCACAGTAGTTGTTTGTATAAATATTAATAATATTGTTGTATAAAACAAAAAAAATATATAAATTATATAAAGTATTACAGTAATATTTAGAGTAAAATAAAAGTATAGAAAACAATAAATCTTATTTTTGTTTAGTAAAAAATGTTTTTTTGGTCTGTTAATTATTTATTAGATTTGTTTAAAAAAATAATATTAAACATTAAACTTAAATTATTTTATATAAAATAATACATTTGTTTCATTAATGTACTGTATATAACAATGAATATATTAATAACAATGAATGGAAAACTATTTAATAGCTTTTTCCGATTAATATACTTAAAAATATTAAACAAAAAATAATATATATATATATATATTCATGGAAAAATATTTAGTAGTAAATAGTATTCACAAAAAAACACGTAAAACAACATTTTAAAATGTTTGTAAATATACTGTATTTTTATAGATATATATTAATATTTAATAATATAATAATAATATTAGTACTGATTATGAGTTTGGCGTTTATTATAAACTATGAAAAGCGTTTCAAATAAGTAAACAACATTTTTTGTAAAAAGTAGATAAAGCTTACGATATATTTATTTACTATTATTATTATGTAAGCCATGGGTCACGTAATTAGAACAGAGACGTGAAGTTATATATTTAGCAAATACTCCACAAGTTATGTATGTTTTTGTATTTGTTAACAATTTTGAAATTCAAGTTTTCGGACTAACTTTACATAAACTCAAGTATTAGTAATAATAATTGTAAATTATATCAATATAAAGATAAATATATATAACTTTATATAGATATGTCAAATATTGGTGTACATCAAAAATGAGACAAACATGCAATATTATTATTATTACAATTGCCTAATAATATGATATGATTTTTTTGACATTTGGAGCAATCGTAACATTATTGTCACAATAGCTTACTTTTTAAACAAAAACAAATTTTTTCTGTTAAGTCTCTCAATAAACAAATACAAAGAGAAATAACATGAATTGAGGTTTTCATTTAGGACTTTACTCTCTTGATTTGGAAACGAGAATTAATTTCATGTTTTGAGAAATTAGTTTAAATTATAATATAATAAAACAATCTCTCTCTCTCTCTCTCTCTCTCTCTCTCTCTCTCTCTCTCTCTCTCTCTCTCTCTCTCTCTTTCTCTCATTTATTCAATTCCCTCATGTGTTGTACTTTTGTATTGTATTAATATTTATGTTGCAATTTCTTATAATGAATGACTTTTCTTTTCATTTTTTTCATAATAATAATAAATTTTTTTTTGTAATTTTAATTACAATCAAATCAAATACGAAATGATTTTTGAGATTGTCGTAAATATTTTCACAAATATTTTTTTTCTCATTTAAATACCTATTACTCATTAAAAATTAATTTTTTCTCAAGTCTTTATATGTATATGCATTAAATTTTGGCATATAATTTAAATATAATTTATAATATGTTTGGGTATATGATTAATAAAATTCATATTTCAAATTTATTGGCACTAATATCATGCAAACCCTAATAACTAAAACTTTCGGTTTCATTCATTATTTAAATATTTTGTTTTGTTTGGTGTTGTGATTGATTCACTTAAACCAACAAAACAATTCACTGTCTGAATAATTAACGACATAAACCATTATTTTGACCAAACAATTTGAATTATAAATTCAGCATATATTTAATAATAATTACAATTAGTGCCAAAGTTTTAATTTTTATAATACGCCCGACAATCTCTCTCTCTCTCTCTCTCTCTCTCTCTCTCTCTCTCTCTCTCTCTCTCTCCATCATACAAGTCACTAGATTGTATCAATTTCTCAAAAAAACATTTAATTCAATATACAGCATTTAACATGTATTTAAATAAAAATCACATAAAATAAAAAAATATGAATTGAATAATACTGCCCACTTTGAAATTATTCAAATGAGATAATCTAATGTAAAACATATACAATATATACAGTACAGTACAGTACAGTATTTGAAAAGTTAATGCTCTATAGGCTAATAAACTATACATATTTGGTGATAATATAGTTCAATACATTAAGACGATTATTATGTAAACTATGGTAAAAGAAAAGATTAACAATAAGTTATTGCCTTAATTTAGTCAAAGTTTTACTTTTTAGTAAATTTCTCATAATTTCATAATATTTTTAACAAATGTTTAGCATTTGTCAATACTTGAATTTAATGTATAATACTTATATTATACATACTGTTATAAAATTAATATAAGTATAAACTAAATTTTCAATAGAAATTATAAGTAAAATAATAAAGTATAAACAATTATTAAAAAGTTAAACACTACTTCTAGAAATATCATTATTAATAAAATAGTATTATTTAGAGCCTGTCCTTAAAGGTGTTTTCAATGTATGTATTAAAAAATACATTTTATTGTTATTTATCACAAAATTATAAGTTTAAGTAAATTTCCTTTATTTTTCTTATTGTTTCTTACTATACATTATACACTAGTAATATTAGTTTAGTATAATAAATATAGTATATAATAATATATAATATGATAATACTGTATTAATATTAATAACAAAAGCAAAAAAAATATTTATTATATTGAATAAAACAATAGTCATTTAGTGTATTAAAGAGAAAGTGATTTTTCAAGAAATCTTTTAGTAGAAAATATAACCAAAATATGTATAGTAATTGTGTTATTAAATTAAATAAGAAAATTAAAAGTGGTTTTTTGGCTAATGTTTTGCCTGTAAATGATTTTTCGGTGGACACATAATTTAATTCAATTTAATTAACGTATTATCAAAAAACAAATGAATTGAAACTCTCAATTCAAGGTTAAACAAAAAGTTAGAGTCAAATGTAAAAAGTTTTAGTAAAATTTTTAAAATTTTAATATATCATTACTGAATGTAAATTTTATAGTTATTATTTTTATTTAATTATTTATTTAGTTTTGTTTTACTATTATGATTGTATTATCTTTTTAGTTTTTTTTCTCCGAAACACTAAATAAAATATCCAAAACGTTTTCCACATTGACCTCAATCTAGTGTCAAATGTTTAACAAAATGTGAGATAAATTCTTGACTTTTTTTGTGCAATTATAAAATTTGTTGTCAGTATTATATAACAATAAAAAAAAGTTTGATGTGCTTTGAGAGATGAATCAATGGTATATTGATATATATATATATATATATTGAATAATAGAGATAGACATCAGACTATTATTATAAAGCATTTCAAAGAAGTTTTTTTTGTTAAACTAAAACACTTTTTAACTTTCAATTAACTGAATTGTAGACTCTCTTTGTTATCATTTTGATAGTTACTATTCAACAGAAAATTGCTATTATTTATTGCAAATTATAAATCGATTATTATTATTATCTAATGATTGCTTCTGAAAAATATATATATTGTAAATAATTGTATAAATGCATAATCTATGAGAGAGAGARAGAGAGAGAGAGAGAGAGAGAGAGAGAGAGAGAGAGAGCACCGTTAGTTTTATTGATTCAAATGGTGACCCGATTTGAAAAGACCACAGACACACTACTTATTATTATTATTAAACACACTCTTTAAATAAATTATATTAGATAATAGTGGAGAAATTTGTTATAATATTTTAAATAAATAACTAAATTGAAAGAAAGTAATAATCATAAAAAAAGATTTAATGACTATCTTTGTCAATAAACCATTGGAAACAAACATTGATTTTTTGACTGCCATTAAAAATGAGATCAATTGTGGAAAAATTCTGGAGGAGAACTGACTGACTGACTGACTAACTAAYTGATTGATTGTCTGTATGACTGAGTGATGGCCAGTGAGTGCTATACGTGTGTTTGAATTAAACATCTTTCAATTTGAATAGCAAAAGTTAATCATTAAAAAAAATGTTTTTAATCACCAAAAAACATTACATTTTGGCATTATATCTCATATTAATACTTATAATATAAACCTTGAAGAATGGGTATATAATATAATAGTGGCTTGAGTTGTGTGGCAGTGCCTTAAGGGATGGGTCAGGCCGAGGGTGGGTCGACATATATAGAGAGAGGGATAGGGAGACTATAACAGCATTTGTCAGAACCAGGAAAAATCCACTTCTGTTTTATGGCCCAAAACATAATACAAAAGTCGCTTAAAGTAAAAAAAAAGTTTCTAATATTATTATTATTACTCAAAAAAGTTTTCTCTCGTTTCTCTTAAAACTATTTGAAAAAATAGAGAGAAAACAAAAAGAGAACAAAATTTTATAATAAGTATATTTTTGAAGTCAAATTGCAGTCAATCGACGATTAATTTAATATTTGCTTATTTTTCTGTTGTTTTGTTGTTGTTTTTATGAGAGTTGTCTTATTAATAACAAGTGCCCTAAAGTGGTGATCAGTAAATCTATTTATAGATTATTTGAATTTTTACTTTTTAAAAAATATATGTATTAATCTATTTTTTCTTAATATTAGCGATTAGTTATATTTAATATTATTAAATAGTTATCGATCGACAGGAAAAACTCGCTTTTTAATGACTATATTTAATATTAAAAATATTTTAATTTAGTTTTTTGATTTGATTTGTCTCTTGATATCTGAAACTATTGGAAACAGCAGTTCTTTGATCTTAAAAATAGTGATAATTCATATGCAAAGACACTAATACTTCCTATTGAAGTCTGTGTTCAAAACTATAATAAGTAATTGATTTCATATAAAACTTTTTTTTGTCATCTTTTGTTGAAAGTAAATGTAAGATTTTAATACAAATATTTTAAAAATTATTTTTGTTATTTATATTTTGTTTCCCACAATTGAAAATTAAATTATTGATTACAAATTATTTTATTTTATTTTATTTATATCAGTTGTCGTTAAGATACTAATCTTTCATAAAGTATAGTATCGACAATGTTGTGGTTAAGTGTGTTGTCTGCACTGTTGAGTGCTCTCACCCTAACATCAGCTCAATTCACATATATTTTTGAAGTCCAGGACGAAAACCGGGGACCAAATTCTGAACTTTTTGGTGATTTATCGCAATATAAGTTTATTCCTCCGTCACAATTACCGCGAAGTTCACGACCCGCACGACCGGCACCGGTCGAACCACAACCATCTCAACCAGCGATAGCCAGACGAGAGGATCCGCCTGAAGAACAGCCGGTAAGACGAATTCGTCCATTAAGTAGTGCAGCACAGAGTCCGCGACAATTTGTGGTAAGAGCTCCGCAACAGGACAGTAGACAAGCACTGTTGAGACATGAGTTAAACCAATTACAACCGGCACCGCAAGCATTGCCCATTAATTATCAGGCACAGCCTCAAACTTCAGCTCCGGTAGCACAACCAGCGCCACAAAGTTTCCAACAATTACAACCACACCAAACGGCACACTTGAATCCAGTGCTCAGAACTATAGTCCCGAGAGCACAACAACCGGTGCCATCACTGGAATCTACACCACAGGACCAAAGCTTTGAATTATTACAAAATTTTGTTAGGGCTCAGTCACAACCTGATTCTTCCCGTTCAACTCCAGCTCGTCAGACATTAGCACAAAATCCTCGTTATAATCCTCAACATCAACCACAACCACAACCACAGCCCCGACCCCAGCAACAGGTGAACTCATCACCGAGTGTTTTGTTAGGTTCAGCGCCGTCCGGATTGCCTACTCTTCAGATTTCTAATAAAGATAGTCTTACTGAAGATGACTTACGATTGATTGAGGAACACAATAGGCGAGTTCAGGCATACCTTCATCAGAGACAACAAGAAGCAAATGCAGCAGCGAGAGCACCACAAGCAGGTCCAGCAGCAAGAGCTAGACAAGCACAAGCACCACCAGCACCAGCTCCTGCACCTGTTAGAGCACCGGCCGTAAGTCAAGAAGAGCTTAATCAAAGACTAGCCATTCAAAGAGCTCAACTCGAAGCACATAATGCAGCGCAAGAAAGATCTTTACGAGAAAGAGAATATAGAGAGAGAATTGAAAGGGAAAAACTAATGCAAATGCAAATCTCACAAATGTTAAGACCAGAGACCAGAGCACAGGTAGCACCACAACTACAATCGTTGCCATATCTTAGACCACAATCGGAGGCCAATATTCAGGCAGGCGTTGAGTACGCGCCACAACCTAATGAATTGCGTCAACCGGAAGAAAGACAACCAGAGGTACGTCCGGTTCCGGTTAGTTATAACAACGTTAGAGTTCCTGATAATGCAAGAAGAAGAGCACCACCGACTACACCGGCCCCCAGAAATTATGCGGCGGCCGTTCCCCGTACAACACCAGCACCGCAACAATCAAACAATAATCATAAGCCGGCAAATCTAGGATTGGCTGCTTTACCCGCGGACACTGGTTTGTTTAATAATAAAAAAAATTAATACTAAGTTGACTATTGTAACAAATTGTAAAAATTAATTCAATATTTCAGACGCCGATGGAATTCCTGGTGAAGCCGGAAGAGATTAYCCGACATTAGATACCATTCCTCAAACATCCTTTTCGTGCGCCCGACAGCCACTAAGCGGTAATTATTGACACTATTTTTTCTGCTAATTTCTATATTATTTCATACAATTTATTTTTCTATATATTCTATTATATAATGTGTTTAATTGGCAAATAGGTTATTACGCGGATACGGAGGCCGCCTGTCAGGTCGTCCATTTGTGCCAATTCGGTGGCGTTCAGGACTCGTTTCTGTGTCCAAACGGAACCATTTGGAATCAGGAAAAGTTTTCCTGTCAGTGGTGGTATGAGGTATGCATTTCTAACTTTTTTTTACATTTATTTTATATTAAATTTAATTTTTCAAAAATTATTTATAATATTACTCAAATAAAACGAATTTATTATTAGTCATAATTTATAATCATATTATAAAAATAATTTTTGAAAACAGAGAGATTAATATCATTATAATAATTATATAAATGTGATTGAATTCAATTACTAGAATTAATTATAATTTTATTAATATTGTTATTGCCATTGTATTAATTTATATTATTATTATAAAACTATAACAGGTATTCAATACTAAAGTTGTTTTACATTATTATTATTATCCCAATAACAGGTCAGTTGTGCGAATGCCCCGCGATTTTATGCCCTCAACCAAGACTTGTATAAATTGCCCGAAAAGGACGACAAACTCGATAATAATAACACAAACAATAAGAAATAATTATTTAAATAATTTCAATCATTTCTATTATTAATTTGTAATTATATTAATACATTTTGAACTGAATATCATACATAAACATAGAGTATATATATATACATACATAAAGATACTGTATAATACTTAAACTTAATATTCATAATTAATTATAATAAATAAAACAAATATTAATAATATAATTGTTTACCATTACTTAATTGCCATATTATTGCACTAGAATTACATTTATTGTTATTTTCAATTTGTTTTTATACAGTATATAAAAAATATAATTATTATTATATTTACTAAACATCTATTGTGAAAGTGAATCAATGCATAAAAATTCATTTCTCATTGTAATATTAGTAATATTATTATTATGTATAATCATTATAATTATAAATATTATAAATAATAATAATTTTATTATTATAATTTTATGACATACCATTTAAAAACATTTGTTTTTATGACTAATAATTTGTTTTTACTGTTTTGTTATATGTTTTCATAGGATTTATATTATTATATGATATGAATATTATATTTAAATTATTTCTAGTTAATAACATTACTTTTATTAAATATATATTTGATATATTTTAATTTGTTTGCAAATATAATTTAATGATAAAATTATTTTAAAATATTTGTACATGTAAAATAACGTCAATTCAGATGCAGTAAAAAATTACATTAAATTTTTAGTAATTTTTTTCAAATTATTTTTATTCAATGTATAATTTAAAATTAATTAAATAAATAATGTTTTTTCTAGAAAATATTTTATTTTTTTATTTAGWAAAAGAGCATATTATTTAGTAATAAAATAAAAATTGCATTATTTAAATATTATTCACGTTTTGTGTTTAAATATAAATTAGAAAAATATTTAAGCGACAAAATATATTATTTATTTGATAGTAAATTATGTTTAGTTATATGTTTTCTGCTAAAACAATGTGCCATTAAATATCATTGATGTGATTGTAATGATCTTAAGATGTATTAATTAAGCACTAAATTTTTGGCATATTATATAGTTTTTAATAATATATTAAAGGCACTACATTTAATTTACTTAATTTATTACAATTTATATTAAAAAAACAATTTTTATTAATCTTCAAGTTTTTTATATCACTATAATTTAGGATTTAAATTAACTATTTAATTTGCTAAAAGTTTTCATGTAATTATTTATTTTATTATTATTTCGTTACAATAAATATATCAACGAAAGCCTTCAAATATTTACAGCGAATATTTAATTAAAATAATTAACTTTCTTTAAGTTAATTGTTTGCATAGTTTGTTGTTTTATATTGTAGTGAAAAACCTTATCTATCAAAACAAAATACAATCAAATGATTGCTATTATAAACTGTTGAGTTTTTTTCAGTTGGATTTATACCAAAATATTTGTACAGATTGTGAAATGTTTAATCAAATTATTCAATTAACATCAATTATATGCTAGTAGTATCAGATAAACATGTTTAATCATTTATAATTTAATTTTCCAAACAAATACGTGATATTTTGATATTTTTGATATTAAAATTAATTTCAAAAGATGATGTATTTCACTAAAATAATTAAAATACTATTTTTAATAGTAATCCTCTTTGTAATATAATTTAAAATATTTAAAAATATATATTGTTGCCAGCACCATTTGTATCATCAAGGACATTCAATAAAGTCAGTGTATTAACATAAATTTTGTTATATTATCTTAATTTATAAACCATTGAATGTGTTAATTCAAATTGAATATTTTATTAAATTTTGATTACTGTAGACATTTGGAAATATAGTATAATATTTTAGCATATTTATTTTGATATTAATTATATATTTTTATGGATTTATATTATAGTTTTAAATGAGTTATTAAGTATTTTAATAAATAAAATTAATGTTTTTTCGTACAAAATGTAAAACATATTTTTAAATACATTACAAATAAATAAATATTAATGAAAACAAATGAACAAAATTTGAAAGAAATATCTAAAAATAATGATAATAAATAATATATTGAAGTTTCATAAAATTAAATTTAAAAAATTCAAAATAACTTTTTTAGAAATAGCAAAAATAGAAATATTTGTTAAAGAAACTCGACTAACAATATTTATGTAGTTTTAAATAAGTTATAAAGTGTTTCAATAAATAAATAAAATTAATGTTAAAACATTATATATTAATAAATATTAATAAAAACAAATGAAAAATAGTTATAAATATCTAAAAAATATTGAGAAAACAATTATTTTTTTGAAAAGTGAAATAAAAACAAATGTTTGCGATTAAAGAAATTGACGATAAGTTAAACACTAGTCGAACGACGTTTAAGTTCGGGAACCGATGACTTTGTTGTCTTTGGTTGACTTGAGATGCTATTGGGATCAGATGTGGTCATTGAAGACACTTTCATATTCCACTGAAGATTTGAGTCAATACGTCCAATCATATTACTGTTTGATGTCGACTATACAGTAGTTGTCATTTAGAAACAATTGTTTTGTTAATAATATTACAAAAATATTTGTAAAATGCAAACAAACCTCAATTCGTTTTAGATTTTTCTCTTGAGGTTTTGGGGTTTTAAACCATCGATTGTATATATATAAGGAAATAATTGTAATAATAATGACTCCAAATATGATAACAATCATCAAAATCAAACTCAAAGCAAGAATAATGTTAGTGTTGTCCGGTGTAGTCGTAGTGTTGTCTTCATTGCTATCAAAACAATGAGAAGCAATGGACTGGAGATTACTTTCGGAGCACTAAAAGAGCAATAAATTGAATTGAATTACAATTTATTAATCAATATATTACTGACCGAAGTATTTAGTTGTTGTTTGCCATCAATTGTACAGAATTTTGGTTTTCCCGACACATTGAATACCAATAGATATTGTCTGATATCATTGAAGTCAGTCATACCATTGATAATCATATCTGAATTATTCATGTTTTTCAAGTCTTCAATAAATGTTGGAACTAAACAGTTCTTACATTCTTCGTAATTCATATTTCGTAAATCATAGAATTTATGACTTTTATTCATTTGATTATAAATCAAAACTTTTCCCGCATTACTCCCATTCAAACTAGTATTAAATATAAAACTATTGTATGGATCGATATGAATGCTATCATTAGTTGGTTTATATTGATCACAACTTTCAGCTGAATTTCTTTTAAACTTTTTAAATGTATTTTTAATACACAGAAAACATTTTAATATGCAGTCATTTGTCGTCGATTTCTAATTAAATAAATAACATTTATATAGTCGTTAAATATCTATACATTTTGTTAAAAAATAAATTATAGTGTTTTCATACATTTGTTACAACACTGCAATCATAATTGTTAATATTACTATTTTTTACTTCAACCACAGCTGTAAATCTAATGATTGCATTTGAATCCAATTCATTGATAATATTTGTATTGAATTCAATTGTATTGTTATTCAATACAAATTCCCACTCTTTATGCTTGTTATACATCATTAGCCGATTATTGTCGAGATTTCTATAAACACCAACGCCTTCATATGTACCGTTAGATCCAAATAATTGACACTCATTTCTATCATTACTGACACTCAAAACAAATAGTGATATTAAAAGACAAATGTAGTAAAAGCTAACTGAACTCATTGTCATCTGAAATGTAAATCAATAGAAATAAATGAATATTTTTCTATTAATATTTAAACCAATCATTTATCGCGCGCTTATAATAATTAAAAAATATTAACAATTAACAGATTAGTAATTTATATTTTGTATTGTATTATACTGTATGATATATAAGACAAAAAATAACTAATAAATAAAGTTTTATATAATTTTATGAACAAAATATATAAAAATGTTAGCAATTAATATTTTTTTGATAAATATATTAGTTTTATAAAATTATATTTTTTACTTACCGGTTATTCAAACTTTGCGCTTAATTAATGAGATAACTATTATTGAACCTTTGGATGTCCTATTAGACCAGCCATTGTCAGCCAGGTCTCCAAATTTATTGATGTTTTAATGGGAACGTCGATAATATACATAATAATAATTAAATTAACATATTTATAATTATAATTATCAAATACAGTATAAACTAAGTTAAACAATATATTTTAATATTACAAAATAATACAAAATTAAAGATAATATGAAATATAATTACTAATTATTAATTAGTTATCTAATAATCAAATTACTTAAATTTAATAGACAAAGTTTAAACATATATAATATAAACACAATGACATACTGTATAACATATTACTTACTATATATACATTGAATTATATMAATTTTGATCATCACTTTAATAAAGTAAATTCAATGTATTTTTTATAAACAGTATTAATAAGTATTAATATAAAAAATAAAGAAATATTAATTGAATTGTTATAAAAATTTATGGATTAAATGTTTGCGATAAACAAATTGATAACAAATTATTTAATTTTTTTGGTTTTATTTTTTACGATTTAAAACAACAGATGAGACAAATGTTTGATTTGATATTAATTTGAATGAATTRACAGATGGTTTAAGTGTATGACTTGTTGTCAATCAATTGAATCGGTTTAGGTTTGGATCAGTTTATTGTTTTGATTGTCATTCAATCGATTGGTTGAAGTTTTGGACTTTTTGATTGTTGTTTCAATAAAGCGATTATAAAAACAACACAAAAAAGTAAATATAAATATTATAATTTTTAACACATTTGTAATCAAAACAATCATATTATTAATTATTATTAATTATTATTAATTATTATTAATTATTATTAATTATTATTAATTATTATTAATTATTATTAATTATTATTAATTATTATTAATTATTATTAATTATTATTAATTATTATTAATTATTATTAATTATTATTAATTATTAAAACAATGATAAGCAATGGGCCGGAGATTACTTTCTAACCAATAAAAACAATTGAATTTCATTAATATATTAATCAATATATTATTAACCGAAGTATTAAGTTATTGTTTGTCACCAATTGTACAGAATTTTGGTTTTCCCGACACATTGAATACCAATAGATATATATATATTGTTTGATATGATTGAAATCAAGTCATACTGTATCTGAAGTATTCATGTTTTTTAAATAATGAATAAATGTTTGAACTGAATATTCAACACAATCTTTGTATTTCATAATATAATATAAAATTTGTGACTTTTATTTATTTGATTAAATATTATAATCTTTTGGTTACTTGTATTCAATACAAAGCTATTGTATTGATTCATATGAATCGGTTATAAAACCGTTTTATTTTTGTAATATATTCTTTAATATCTCTTTTAAACTATTTCTTCAAACCTTTTTTTTATACCGAAAATATTATAAACTATAGATATTTTCCATAGATTTCTAATTAAATATATATAACATTTATTTATACGATAAATATCTGTTATATATAATAATACATTCTTTTAAAATATAAATTCAATTTTTCTGTTTTCTTACATTAGATACAACACTGCAATCAAAAGAGAATCGGTTTCTTTAAATTACACAAAGCTTTAAATCTAATGATAACATTGGACTCCAATTCCTTAATAGTGTTATTCAATACAAATTCCCACTCTTTATGCTTGTTATACATAATTAGCTGATTATTGTCGATATCTCTGTAAACACCAATGCCTTCATAAGTATCGTTGAATMCAAATAATTGACACTYATTTCTATCTGTACTGACACTYAATATTAGTGAAAGACAAAGMGGTGGTCACACGGAAATATGGCCARAATTTACGACAATATTTAGTTTCATAGTTTCACATAATTATTATGAGTATAAATCTGTTTATATAATTATAGTATATATTAGTATTTGGTTATTAAGRATTTTATTTTATRCTTTAGTTTTGCTTAATTTTCAGTAATAATATACTAATTATTATTAGTTTTAGGTTGAAAAACTTATAACTAAATACTATAAAAAAGATTATTATATCATTAATACAAACAGAACAATACTCATAATAATTATGTAAAACTATRAAAYTAATAATTATAACCAAAATTGTGGCCATATTTCCGACGGACCACCGCTTTGTCTTTCACTAGTAGTGATACTAAGAGATAAATGTGGTAAAAGTTAACTGAATTCATTGTCATCTGAAATTAATAGAAATAAATGAATATATTTCCATTAATATTTAAAATTATCATTTGGCGAGCGCTTATAATAATTAAAAAACTATAACATATTTATAATTTGTTTTGTAATGCTTTAATATCTAATRATAATATGTATAATATTCATAAAAAAATTATATATTAARATATTAGAATTATTTAAAATATTGTATTAATTTTATTAAGAAAATTAGGATTTAAAAAAATTATATTAATACTTAATTTCAACATATAGTATTATTATATATTATTTACAATATTACAATATATCTATTTATAAAAATATCTGTAAAAATAAACTATTTTATTAAAATGCAAACTCATCAATAAAACAATAAAAAGGTTACAAATAGTGGACAATTTTTTATGAAATTAATTTATTAAATACAGGAAACAATCGGTTAAATAATGTGTCGCACAATCATCTCATCATGACTTTTGTAAATACAGTCTATTTAATAGACTTATAAAATATTTACATTTTTAGTTGAAAATAACTATTTGAATGAAAGTGAAGTAAAAGGTAACACATTTTTGACAAACAAAATGAGTTATCATTATCTCTATATATTAATATTAAAACTTATACTTTTAGTAAGTGTAATGTTAATTGATATAACAATTTGTCAAAATCCAAGTAAATCTACTCAACAATGGCCACCAAAATCAGTTGAAAGTGAGTTTATGGACACCGATAGGGATAACATTCGTGGCATTGGAGGCAAAGATTATCCCATCTATAGCTCGATTCCCAGGACATCGTTTACATGCAGTGGACAGTTGTCTGGTTTGATAAAAACAATTGCTCTTAATATTTGCACTAAAGCTTAACAAATTGATCTCTTGAAAGGATTTTACGCCGATATGGAGACCGAGTGTCAAGTGTTTCATCTGTGCGTAAACAACATGAAGACATCGTTCATGTGCGGCAACGGAACCATCTTTAACCAGAAGCTGTTTACTTGCAATTGGTGGTAATATACAGTATTTATAACATATTTTATAGTATAATCATTAATCACTTAATTGATTCATTAGGTATAACACAACATGCAGTGATTCACGAAAGTATTATTCTCTTAACTCTAATTTATATAAACAAAATGTTAAAACAAATGACACGACCGATGATAATGAAGATACGGTTAATGATGAAGAAGAAGATAATGATTTGCCAAACAATAAGAGTCCTCCACCCAAACCATTGCCGCTAAAAGTGACGATATTTACTACAAAAGCACCGCAAAAGCAATTTCTGGTTAACAGAGACAGTCCGGTGCTATTGACCAGACCTGTGGTCAAACAAAATGTTGAACCGGTTGTTGTCACACAACAAATAGTTGACGAACCACTCGATGATTATGAAGAACAACCACCAGATGATTATCAATAAATTAATTAATCTTTTTTTTGGTATAAATTAATATTTTATAATGTTTTTAATTTCTAATTATATATAATTAATCCAATTTAATAATAAAAATAATTTTTTAATTAAACTTTTATGATTTAAAATATTTAATTAAAATTTTATATATTATAAATATAAGATATTTTGCTAATGATTTGATATATTTAAATAAAACATAAAAATTTTGCAATGCATTGTTTTTATATCTGAGTTCAAAAATATAATATTTATATTGTATTAGCATTTGATTAAATTGTTAAATACAATATAATGAGTCTCTAAAGTCTTTAAAGATTATAAATAGAGGTTTATCTTAATATCAGACCCGCATTAGTCTCTCGACTCATCATTTATTTGTATATCTAGTAAACCATATTTTACATATAAAACTGACCAATAATGGCAATGTTATATACAATTTTATACTGTATTATTTTATATTTGATTTATTTTTTATTTAATTATAATGTTAATCAAATAATTGCATCCAACCACTTAAAAGAGGTTGCAATTATCAAGTTATCAATTATACAAGTAACTAAAAAATGACAAATTTTAAATATATTGTGCATAAAATTGTCTATAACTTTGCCATTATTTATCATTTTAATCTATGAAATATGGTTTACTAGATATTCAATATAAATCACTAATCGAGAGTCTGATGTGGGGATGATTTTAAGATATCGTATATAAATAGATGAGTTTGTTTTTGAAGAGTTTGTATAATAGATGACAACATTGTATATTACTTGCGTATATATCGACTTAAATAAAATAAATTTTATCAAATTTAATTGTTATAAATTGTTAAAGTAAACAATATTTCAATTACTGTTAAAAAAACATTTATGTACTAATTATTAMAGCAAATAAAATTAATTATATACCRGTATAAAACACGTGTATACTTTTTATTATCATTAATATTTTATTTCAATAAACTTAGATTATTTTCATTTAGATAATTTAATTTTAGTAGCATAATTAGGTATACTAGCAATATATTAATAAAATTTAAAAATCTTTAAAAATTGTACTCATATTTTAGAAGTTAGAAACTTAAATAATTGAATAAAAAATGTACACTTTAGTCAATTATATATATATATATATATATAATCATACCACATCTAAATAACAACAAAATAATAATATAAAGTAAAATTATTGATAAAATTCAATTATTTTAGCATTAGATGTGAATTATGTCGTTGTTATTGTCGGTGTGGGTCTTATAAATGGTTGAGTCAATTGTTGTTGGGTTTGTTCAGTTGGATTGGCATATATTTGATTACAATAAGCCGTCCCATTACTAACATTCCTTACAGATAATTGTGTCGGATATGAATCATAGGTAGGATTTATTAATGTTACAGATGTTGGTGTACTTATTTGACTAATTGGATGATTAATTGGCACCATTGGTAAAGACTGTATGTCAGATTGGTTTGCAATGTTATGTTGACCCAGGTCATGTATTGAAATTTGATAATTATTTAGTTTGTTTAAAATTATTAGTTCTCGGATATAAACTGCTGCTAATGATCCCGAAATAATATACAGTACAGCTATTATTATTATTAACCAATGAAATATAAAACCGGCAATCAAACAGACCAGTCCGGCCAATATAATTAGTATACTATAACCAACTGTTCCGCCAACTGACTGATGATAAATACACCAAATGCCCAATAATATCATCACTGAAAAGTCAATACCAATTACT